ATTTTTAAAATGATGCATACATGTATACATGAAGTAACAAAGTTGAAAGACAAACAAGCTACATACACAACAGGCAATTATTACATATATAAAACATTTTTATAGCTCACTCTAATGAAAATGAATATTTAATAGAAAAATGGGTTAAGGGCATGAACAGGCAATTTGCTAAAGAAGAAATCCAACATGTAAGCATGAAAAAGTGTTTACATCACGAGGAATGAAAGGAATGCACATTAATGATGTTAAGAAACATTTCATCCTATCAAAGTATTACGTATTTTTAGTAATTTTAATCTTGCATTTCAAGAGGGTTACACATCAAAATGCTAACAGTGGTTCTCTTTGGGTAGTGAGATTAAGGGTGGTTTTCACTTTTGGTTTTGCTTTTCTCGGGTATTAATATTTTATTTGTGCAATAAAGAAAAGTGCTCACCTGGAATCTCTGAAGAGCTCATCTCTGGTGAGTGAGCAAGACCACAGCCAAACTGTGGCATTCCTCAGGGCCCAGCCTGGAGCTAGATGGACAATACTGAATCATCTTGGTGCCACTCCTCCCCCCTTAACCAGGAACTGGTTGGTTGCTGTTTAGACAAGAGGGATGAATTGGAGGCAGGGAAACCAGCCAGCAAGCTGGTGCTGACTGGTGCAATAACAATCCAGGTGGTGAGTTATAAAAATTCTCTGGTGAAACCTGGTGTGACCACTCTCTCCAAGGGGAAAAAATAAAATAAAATGGCATGTCTGTTCATGTTAAATGGAAAGAAGGCCATCAAAAAGCTACTAGACTTAATACATGAATTTGGCAATGTAGCAGGATACAAAATTAACCCCAAGAAATCTGAGGCATTTCTATACACCAATAGTGAACTTTCAGAAAGAGAGATTATAAAAACAATCCCGTTTACCATCGCACCAAAAAAATTAAGCTACCTAGGAATAAACTTAACTAAAGAGGTAAAAGACCTCTACTCAGAAAACTACAGGACGTTGAAAAAAGATATAGAGGAAGACATAAACAGATGGAAGAACATACCGTGTTCATGGATTGGTAGAATTAACATCATTAAAATGTCCATACTACCCAAAGCAATCTATAAATTCAACGCACTTCCCATTAAAATACCAACGGCATACTTGGAGATCTAGAACGAACTCTCCAAAAATTCATCTGGAATACTTTAAGCAATAAAAAAAATAAAAAAAAAAATTAAAAAAAAAGAAAGAAAGAAGGGCTGGGATGACAGAAGAAGAAAGTAAAGGAAGATAAAATGTGGATGAAGAAAATCTTGAGCCAATTTTTGTGAGAGTAGAATATGCAAATGAAGATGTTGCAATGATCTATGTTGGGGTGAATTCAGATTCAGAACCAGTCATTTCCAACATTTGGAACAGTCCTGCCTGGCATATTAAAAAAATAATCAGCAGTCTATACCTGGTTCTAAGACAGGTCATGCCTCATAATTCTTCAGAGTTAGTCTCTCCTTTAACTCAGTATTCAGCCTCTAGAACTTCCTCATGGAGGTGTGCATGAAAGACTTTCTGTATCAAAGCAGCTTCCACTTCTGGGGAAAATGCAGTTGCCTTAAGTTGGGCTCCCTGGAAACAGGCTCTGAGCTAAATCTGTGCGGGAGGGTTGTTGACGGGGTGGGTGTGGTCCTCAGGGACAACACCTACAAGGGAGTGAAGGAAAGAGGACTGGGCGGAGGCAGGAGGGGGCTTCTCAGCCAATCCATGGGCAGCTCTGGAGCTGGGATGGCCCTGCAGTGTTGTCCTCAATTGAAGTACAGCGGCCAGGCCTTTGTACCCCGCCCTCCCCTTTCCCCAGGTTGACTGGTCATTGAATGCATGCTGTCCCTGGGGAGAAGGCATATTATGGATGAGGCAGCCAAGGGAAATCTCCAGGGAGGAAGGCAGCTGGATTGCTCAGGCCGCTGCAGAAGGAGGGAAGTGGGCTTGCTGAAGTGCTTTACTGCGTGGAGCCAGGAGACCAGGGAGAGGGTTATGTTCCAGAGGAGGATCAAAGGACAGACCACACACATAGGCAATGCGAGAGGAGCACCCGCATCACAAAGGAGTTCAGAGTGCAGGCCAGGGATGATGGTACGAGACACAGGGCTGGGCCAGATACTATCCAGGGAGTCACGGAGGTAATAGAAGCCAGGTGGTGGCTATAACTCCCAGAAGTCTGGAGGCTGCAGGCTCTAGTCATTGCTATAACAGATGGCAAGGTCAGGGGGGCACCTAGCGGGCTTGATATACAAGAGGTTGTGAAGGAATTTAATAGTACAAGGTGTCCCTGGGTGAAAAATCGATGGGTAGCCAACAGGGTGCTGTTTAACATCTATAAGCCGAAGAAGGCAAGAATGGAGGAGCAGGAGTCTGAGGGCAGTTGCCTCAACAAAAAGACATCCTTCTTGCTCAGTTCTCAGATCTGAGTCAATTTCCAGAACCAGACCACAGAGAGCCCATGACTTAAGAGGTGGGTGAGGACCCTAGGAAGAAGGACCCAGTGACACTGAAACAGGTATTTACTGTAATGATTATTCTAATACCTTCAATCATCTTCTCAGCTAACAACATGTTGGGGAAAGAGAAATACCCAGGCACTGTGCAGGAACTGGAAGGATCTGGTTACCCAGAAACCCAAAATATTATCATGGGCCCTCTGTGAGAGTGGACACTTATGGAGGTCAGATAATAAGCAAAGTGCTGCATAATAGCCAGCTTACCATGGGTCCACGGGTCTATAGATCCATCCAGTGGTCATTCCCCCAGCACCTGAGAATATATAGGGTAGCAGGAGCAAGCTCCACATCAGGTCTTAGTTCTCATAGTGGGGGAGACCAAGTGAAAGGTTCTGAAACTGCTCCTTCTCTACCAACTTGAGATAATAAATAAAACCCAATACTTCATCCAAGGAAATGAGGGTGGTGATGGTGAAGATCAATGTCACTACTAGAGACCGAAAGGATGCAGGAATGGTCATCCTATCCCAGTGGTCGGCAAACCACGGCTCGCGAGCCACATGCGGCTCTTTGGCCCCTTGAGTGTGGCTCTTCCACAAAATACCATGTGTGGGCGCGCATGTACAGTGCAATTGAAACTTCGTGGCCCATGCTCAGAAGTCGGTTTTCGGCCTGGGCGAGTCTATTTTGAAGAAGTGGCGTTAGAAGAAGTTGGGGGTGTCGGTCGGTCGGGCGACCGCAGGATACGAAACGCGGGGGAGGTACATTGTTTTGAGGTACATTTGCTGAGGTCGACCCCTTCCAACTCTCCATCCACACTCGTCTATCTGAAACAAGCATACAAGACGAGTGTGGATGGGAGAGTTGGAAGGGGTCGACCTCAGCGAACAGGACGTTTTTAGCAAAGGCCAGCTTAGGAGTACCCTAATTAAGTTAATAACAATGTACCTACCTATATAGTTTAAGTTTAAAAAATTTGGCTCTCAAAAGAAATTTCAATCACTGTACTGTTGATATTTGGCTCTGTTGACTAATGAGTTTGCCGACCACTGTCCTATCACATCCCTATTTAATTTGCCAGTCAGTCTGGCCCCTTCAGAAATCAGGGGAATGTTTGATAGACTACTGCAGACAAGACCTAAGCATGTAGTGCACAGCCATTGTGCCAGCTCTGTGATCTGTCTAATACAGTCCTCAAGGACCTGGACCATCTACCTGGACATCCTACAGAACATCACACCCATTGGTTACCACCATGCTAATTGTGCAGGATTAGCAAGAGGAGTCTAGTACACAGGAAACCTTGGTAAGACACATGGACTTCAGAGGGTGGGAGATATTAAATCATGAAGATTCAGGAACCTGGCACTTCCATTGTCAGGGAACTAGTGGTCAGGGGTCTGCCAGGATAGTTCCTTCAAAGTAAAGGGCAAATTATAAAACACAGAAGCAAGATAAAAGAAAAAATTACTTCTAAACCTTTTGAAAGTGACACCTAAAATTGTTCATAGTGTTTACATCCTTTAAGATGTTTTCATTGTGCAAAGAATTAAGTACAACTAATATGAAATCCCATAACTAGCTTATATTTTCTTTATTTACTTGTTTACTTGCTTATCATCTATCTGTCCTCAAGGTGACATAAGCTCTGTGAAAATTGTGTTCACTGCTGTTTCCCCAGAACCAAATGCACGTGGTGCTCCATAAATATCTTTTGGTGGAATGAAGTGAACTATACACATTGTTTTTAGCCTGCTGTTTTTCAACTAACTTCCAGATGCTTCAGATTATACTTCATCTTTCTTTCTTTCTTTCTTTCTTTTTTTTTTTTAAATCTATGATAATATTAGGTTTTTAAAAAAATACATTTTTATTGATTTCAGAGAGGAAGGGAAGGGGAAAAGAGAGACAGAAACATCAATGATGAGAGAGAATCATTGACCGGCTGCCTCCTGCACACCCCAACGGGGGATCCAGCCTGTGCCCTTGACTGGAATCAAACCCAGGACCCTTCAGTCCGCAGGCCAACACTCTATCCACTGAGCCAAACCAGCTAGGGCTCCTTCATCTTTCTTAACATGTGCCTCTCCAGAAGTCATGTGAAAGCAGAGTTCTCATGTTCCAGAGACTTCTATCTGTGCAACTTCAGGACCAGGAAACCTTAGTCTTTTGGAAGCCGAGTCTTTTTCCTCTTGGCTGGCACCGCCTACAAATCCACAGTGGGCGCAACCTTGCCTGGGTCATTCTTTATATCACCCAGCTCAGCTGAGTCAGGTTCCAAGACATGCGAACTGAAGCTGTTCCCAGGCAAGCAGCCCAGCCCACTGACACGTCCCTCTTCTGGCCACGCGGTGGCGGCAGAGCGCCACAGCCTGCACAGTCGGCGCAGGGCCCGCGGACCCGCAGGGAGGACGACTCGGGGCCGGGAGCAGACTGCCCGGAGTGGGCGGAGCAAAAGGCTCGCCGGCCCAGGGGAGGGCAGGAGCGAGGGGCGGGGCTTCTTGGCGGGGAGTGCGCTTGCGCCGGGTGCGGTGGGCGGAGCCGTGCCGCTTTCGCCACTGCTGGCGTCTGTCCGCGTGGGGACGCCTTTGCCCTGCCTTTCTGAGTTGGCCAGGCCCAGGGGTGGGGAGTTCCAGGAGCACTGGGGTGAGGATCGGGGGTCCCTGGGGACCCGGCGGGGTTGGGGTGGCGAGGACTGGGGTGCAGGCGGGGAGGAACGGAGGGGCGCCGGAGCGGGAATGGGGAGAGAGGGGTGAGTAGAAAAGGTTTAGGTGGGAAGACAGCGCCATTCTTCCCCCTCCTCGTGGTGTGAAATGCAAGGACCCAGGGTGCTGCCCGGGACCACGGGAGTTGCAGTTGTCAGGCGGCCGTGCTTTCCGGGAAGACACCCGCTCCCCCCCCGTCCCCCGCCCCCAGGCTCTCCTGCTGGTCTGCGGTTCCTGTTTATCTCACCACCCCGCCTCCGGAGCCTCCCCCCCTGCATCCTGTGCCCCTGGGGACTCGCTTCCCGCCGTTGGAGGCGCCTGGGAGTCACGCCCTCTCTCTTACTCCTCACTCCTAGAGAAATAAAAGTTTTCCTGCTTGAACCTGCCAATGAGAAATAGGAAGATTCCTGTGCAAACTTCTACATAAGCTTGTCTACAACAATCACTTTAAAAAGAAACAACCTATTTAAGTAACGTCACTCGCTTGTGTAAAGTGGAGCGAGAGTGTTGTTAAGCCGCGCGGGCCTCTGAGATTTTAGTCCCGGAGATGGCAAGACCGCATTTGGAGTTCAGGGCCCGGTCAGCCACAGCGGCGCTGACCAGTGCCCAGCCCTCCCTATGAGGGTTGGGGTGCATATCCGCATTCTCGGCCGCGAGGATTGGGGTGCATATCCGCGTTCTCGGCCGCGCGGAGGGAAGGGTGCAGTCTGACATTTGGAAGCTTAAGAACCGAGTCTGTTGCCTTCCAGTTTATTTTTTAAGCCTTCCATCCTGTGTGTACTTTGCTTGAATGATTATTTTAAAGCACATGCCCTATTTTTGCTAATCTGACAGCTGTTTCCATAGAAACCAGAGGAGAAAGAGTCATTTTCAGCGGAGTTGTTAAAACTGTCTTCCAGGCGTCAGCTGTGAGTGCCAGTGAGTGCTGCACTTGCTCCTTCTGAGATGGTACTTAAACAATTAAGGGTCTGAAATGTTCTTAGAGGCTAACAATCCAAATTGTTTAATTTTCTCACATCATTAATTTCGTAATCCTAGATGTCTGCCAGCGATGTTTGTTGACCTCCTTCAGTTCTTTGTAGTGGATGTGTCAGCCCTGATTTTTTTTTTCTTCTGCTCTGTGTCGTCTAGTGAGGGGCTCTTTGAAAATGTATAGCGTTCGCTCCCGTTCTTAAGGATAAACCAAGGATTATGAACTATCAGGCACTATTGCTGTTCTGGGTGACACTTGATTGTCAGTGATGTAAATGGTTAATTTTTTAAAAACTTATATTCGTATAATGTTACACGTTCTGTGTCAGTAGAGGACTTTTTCGCAAAAGCCCTGAGAAATGAGCAGGAGTTTGCGTGGCCATGGGCAGAGCTGAGTAGTGTAAACAGATGTGTGTTGTCGCAGAGAGGATAGCTTTTCTTTTCTGAGAAGTGTAAGTACATCAGTGGGTCTGGAGCTCAGGAGCCGATGAAGGAGAGGAGGGGAAGGTGCCTGGAGAAATAGTGGGAGGTCTGGTCTACCCTTTTGGAGGAGTTTATTGAAGCCAGTGGAAACCAATGGAAATTACAAAAACAGTTGCCTTTATTGGTTTGGAGGCTTACAGAAGTAATAATAGACGCTGTAAAAATTTAAACAGCACTGAAGTATATATGATGGAAATATTAAATCCCTTACAGCCACCATCCTGCCACCCAAAATAACCACTATGAATAGTTTGGTGTATATTCCTTTAGATCTACTTATATTTGCATATGCTAACGTAGTGTAGCATTACCATTTTTGCAAATTGGGTAGAGATTTTTTTTGGCTGTTATGTTTCCTGTGCTATTCCTAGCATTTAGAATGGCATATGGTATGGCATGTAGTGCACTCCTAATGAACTATTTAATGAATGAGTGAAGAACATGATTCAGAGATCAAACACTGAATGGGGTCTGGCTATGTTTGTTCGGTCAAGGTGGTAAATTTTTTTTTAAGTTGGTTGCCGACATTTTTAAATTCATAACTTTCACATAGAGCCTGATTTCTGGCTTTCCTTGAGAATATTGGAACATTTGGCAACACAAAGCCCAAATTCCATTGTTCTTGTTGGATCTCCTTTAGATGCGCATGAATCTGTATTTACATCAGTATGGCTCTGTTGATATTCACCTTCATTGCCTAATGTCCAGGGTGTTCAAACCATTGTTTGTTTATTCTGTCTGTATCTTTAGTTGTCTTAGGTGGAAGGATACGTCTGGTCTCATGCCACCTTTACCCCAATCAGAAGTGCCAGTGTTTTCCTGAAAGGAATAAATTTGTATTTAAAAGACAACAACAACAACATCTTACAAGTTAGGCTTATAAGCATTACCTGCTTCTACCCCCTCCCCATCCCATTACTGTCAATTGATAAAACTTTACTACTGTTTTTATGTAATCCATTTCTTATCCCCCAAATAATTTAGCATTAAAATAAAGATAGGTGTCTGCCCAGGCTGATGTGGCTCAGTTGGTTGGAGTGTCATCCCATACACTGAAAGGTTGCGGGTTCGATTTCCGGTCAGGGCACATTCCTAGGTTGTGGGTTCCATCCCCGGTTGGGGTGCATAGGGGAAGGCAACTGATAGATGTTTCTCTCTCAATAACATGTCCTTGGGTGAGGATTAAAAAGAAAAATAGACTTCCTCCGAGTAAAAATAGAAAATGGAAAGAAGAAAAGTTTTGAAAGTACATGTTGAAGAATAAGAAAAAAGTAAGCGAAGCCTCTTTGGTTTGTATTGTTCAAAGGCACCGCTGTAGGGGTGAGAAACCCCAGGTAATTAGTGTGAGATGTGTTAAAGGAAGGACTGACACACCTATTTCCTAATGTGTTATGTTTCCAGTTTGGTAAATACATATTTTCCAGAGATATTTATAGTTTATTTTTTGGGTTCTAGATAATCAAGCAAAAGAAAGATGAGCTTCGTCTATGGATTGCAGTCTGCTACTAGAAACTGTCTTTCCTTCCGATTTAATTTGCGGACCAACTGGAGAAAATGTAACACAACAGCTATAACCTCACGGGACTGTCATCAAGTACAACTTAACCACATAGTAAATAATATTGAATGCAAACTGGGAGTAAATCGGTGTAATAGGGTGACTTCTCTGCCTGGAAACTCACATTTCTATAGAACTTTTAATAACAAAAGTGCAGGATACCTCTCGAGTCTTAAAAGCAAGGACAATAAGTGTACAGCATGGCGTGACCCTTTTCCAAGACAGAAACTGATAGAAGAAGTTGCAGTAGGTCCCGCTCTTTCAGTATTGCATCCTCTAAACTGCTTTCCCATAAGAGACATCAGGAGTTTCCACACTTCTTCACGGTGGCAAGCTGCTCCCTTCCCTCTCTTGTGGATAATTCTTAAACCAGTGCAGAAACTACTTGCAATCATTGTTGGCAGGTAAAATGCTTTGAAAAAAATAAGCTTTTGTATTAAAGGATATTGGTAAAACTACACTTTGAAGGAAAATTCGTTAGATTTCCCTCCCATAGTTAGCTCAAAGTTAAGATTCAGTTTTGTTATATAGGACTTAGTAATCTTGAAATAATTTACTGCATATTATCTTTTAAAAATTATTCTTACATATCTCATATAGACACTTTTTAAAAGATTGACCTTGTATATGTGTCTGCAAAAAGAATCAGAAATGTTGATTATAACTCATGGATAAGAACGGTGCTTTACAGACATCCAATTTTTAGTGTATGGAATTTGAGGCAGTGGATCACAAAACTGAAGAATTTTGCTTATTTAAGAATGAGCTTGCCTAGCTGGATTGGCTCAGTGGTTGAGCGGCACCTATGTACCAGGAGATCACAGTTTGATTCCCTGTCAGAGCATGTGCTGTGTTGCAGGCTCCATCCCCAGTAGGGGGCGTGCAGGAGGCAACTGGTCAATGATTCTCTTCATTGATGTTTCTCTCTTCTCTCCCTCTCCCTCTCTAAAATCAATAAAAATGTATTTTTAAAAAAGCATGAGCTGTTACACCTAAAGCTAATACAAAATAATATTGAATGTAAACTGTAAGTGAAAAATAAAATTTAAAGTTCTCTTAAGAAAATTAAAAAAATAAAGTGAAGGAGTTAATATTTTTTTTAAAAAAGAACAGAACAAAGAATGGGCTCACTCCTAGCCAAGTTAATTCTTAAACCATTAATATTTACTTATTTTTTTCTATTCTATTTTTAACAAATATTTATTATTTTCTCTTGGTAGCCCTTTATAATAATTAATATTTTTACAGCTAAATGGCAGTACTTTATATTTGATTTAATTTGCTCTCCCCATAAGCCTGTTTCCTCTTATTTGGCTCCATGAAGATTGAAGAACGGTAAAGTTAAGCATTATCTCCATAAAGCTTTCTTATGTTTAATAACAGTGAACTTCCTTCTAGCCTTCTTACTTTCATACCAGCCCAATTTTGTTTTTATCAAAATTGAGAACTTGTACCCTGTAATTTATTGTGTTCTTTATGATTTGGCATCAGCATGCGGAAAATAGACAGCTAGATTAGCTCTCAGTTTAACCACTGTCGAAGAAAACCAGAACTCGGCCATAGTTAAAGCAGTAAAAACAGATTTTATTCTGGAGTATTGTAGTCGGGGAAAGGAGGCCTTGGTGTGGAACCAGAGCCAATTCTGAATACAGCATGGCCAAATAGGGATTCATTAATGGCCAAATAGGAATTAATTTCTAGCTGAGGAGCAGGGGGCAGGGGTCGGCAGATGGAAAATTAGAGGCAACATTGGGAGTAAGGGGAGATTCTGCCTGAACAGACCTAACAGGATTCTTGCTGAAGGCAGGTGAGGGTGATCGGGTATCACCTGGGGGCTGGTGGAGGATGCAGCTCCCAGTTAGATTCAGGGGTGATCAGATATGGAGGATGGGGGATTCTGGCTAATATTGGGCCGTGCAGTGTCTGAAAGTGAAGGCCTAGTTGAAGAGGAGTTCAGGAGACCCCGAGTTGCGTTTGCTGGAGGAAAGAATCCTTCCATCCTTTTAAATTATTTATTTTAACGTTTTTATTGTTGTGGTTATGACTGTAAATTTTCTTTTAGAATATGTTAAATTTAAACAAATAATGACAAGTCAGGTAAAGTTTTAAATAGGAAATAAGTATACTTCATAGGTTGGTTTAATCTTTTCAGGTTGAAACTTTAGACTAAATTTTAGAGGCATTTTCAGTGTGACAACAAAATTAAGATAATTTAAAGGAGTTATTTTATAAAATAATTTTTTGTCAAGAGAATGATGTGTATGTTTTAAATTTTTGTTGTGCTTTTGCAGATGAACTCGCAAGGAAAATATTTTTGTACCAGTCTTGAAAACATTGCTTGTTGTCAGAATGTCTCTGGGCTCTGATAAGCGGCAGGGAGTGTTGTTGCCGGGTAGAAATGGGAGCTCCTCAGGTGTTACCTATAAAATCTCCGATTTCCTTCTTTTCTTTGCTTGTGCTCTTATTACCTGTCCTTTGTCATGTTCTAGGACAGCGGTTCTCAACCTGTGGGTCGCGACCCCTTTGGTGGTCGAACGACCCTTTCACAGGGGTCGCCTAAGACCATCCTGCATATCAGATATTTACATTAGGATTCATAACAGTAGCAACATTACAGTTATGAAGTAGCAGCGAAAATAATTTTATGGTTGGGTCACACCATGAGGAACTGTATTTAAAGGGCCAGAAGGTTGAGAACCACTGCTCTAGGGGATGGAGTTTCTGCTACTGAGCAACTTACCTCTCAAATCAGTGCTGAGGTAGTTTCACTTGCTGAAGCACTGGCCGCTTATGCTGGGGGTCTGATGAGCCGTGGGGAGAAGGGTGGTTCAAGGTAGAGATGTTTGTGTGGGCAGTCCATTCCCTATGACGTGGTCAAGGGCTCAGACTCTGGAATCACATTGCTTCATTGTTTGGTTTTCCTCTTATCACCTCTACGACCTAGGGCAAATTGCTTAACTTCCCTCCGTCTCCATTTTCTCTCCTGTAATGGTTCTTATGAAGGTGGAATGAGATGACATCTGTATGATGATTAGAACAGCACATTATATGTGGTCAGCAGTCAGTCAGTGTGAACTCGTGGTAGTTGTAGTAATAAACCCCCTCATTTAACGTTTACTTTTAAAATAACTGAAGAAAGTTAAAATGAACATTAGACTTTTTAACTTTTGCTCTATATAGTTTTTTCATTTAGCTAAGAATTTTATAAATTTAAAAAAAAAACATTTGTACCGAGAAATATCATAAATTCAAGTATTTGATGACATAAAATTCTAGCAGTAAGCATTTAGTTTTGGTGAAATGTGCTGATACTATTATCAGAACCTTGACTTTTTCTTTTCGATCTAGGGGCATAAGGAAATGGTGGCACGCACTTCCTCCCAACAAGAAGGAACACTTTAAAGAAAGTGTAAGGGAGAACAAATGGAAGTTACTCCTGGGGTTGAGCACTTTCGGATTTCTCTTCGTAGTGTTTTATTTCACTCACCTGGAAGTGAGTCCAATCACAGGAAGGACCAAGCTACTGCTGTTGGGGAAAGAGCATTTCAGTCTTTTAGCAGAACTGGAATATGAAGCAGTAAGTAGTAAGGATTGTTTTTAATTAATTGCTTAATATAATACTGAAAGCAGGAAAGGTTCTCAAATATTTATTGTAGACTTTGATAGGAAATTAGCATCTTACCCTCCCCCTCGCCCCGCCCCCCCTCGCCCCCGACCCCCAGCAAAGGCTCAGACCTTTCATATTTAGTATTCCTACTGACTATCTTGCTTTCCTCCCATCCACCCAGCTAACTCCTTTTTATCACAGGTCAGCTTAAATGCCACTTTCTCTGGAGAGCTTTCCTTCATTATCCAAACTGGGTTAGGCAGGGGCTACAGTGGGCTCAAGGGGGTCTCCTTCGTATCGACTGACTTAGGAATCAGCGCCTTTGCAGTTGTGCCCAGTGCTTGGGGTTATTTCTCCTACTTTATTTTTTCTTTGCATGTGATACTTTTCCTTGAAAGCACTTATCACATGGGTAACATAATTATTTACACGATTATTTACTTGCTGATTTGTCTTCCTTAGAGTAAGCTCCATGGGGGCAGAGACCCTATCTGTTTTGTTTATGATTTTCTCTAGTACAGTGCACAAAGCAGTGCTTAGTATCTATTTAGGTCTATAGTCTTGATTTTTTGTACCTTGAAAGTAAAGTAGAATAAAAGGTTTTTGATTTCTTTTGTAATACCAGTTTTGACAATTTATGATAGTTTTTGAATGCAAAATAAAGTTGGAATTTCGAAGCCTTGGCTACTTAGGGAGTATAAGTCAGGTGGCTAACCATTTAGCACTACTAGTGAGCTCTGAAGGGCAGATCATCTTTCTGTCGCCAGTGCATAGCAGTACATCGTGTGTGCTCAATCCGTGTTCACGTCTCACAGCCCCCCTGGATAGCTCTGTCAGGGTTAGAACTTTATCTCTTTTGTTCCAACTGAGTTTCCGAGTTTGCCAGTGGAAAGGTATCATTAAAAAGAGAAATAACAATGTTTTTTTCACTGGAACATCCTTCCTAGTAGAATTTATACAGAGATTTGAGATGTTTCTTAGAATATAATCCAGTCAGAGGCAAATTTGAGGAAAGTGTTTGGGAAATACTGACATGGGCCAACTTCTACCATTCACATTACCAAGAAGCTTTAAAAAATGATACACATGTACATACATATATTTTCTTCTTTATTTCTTATTTTTTAATCTACAAATTTAATACCTCCTTGGTACGAAAATTCAAACACTTGTTCTTAGAGGGCTGTTACTAAGTACTGTAATTGCAGTAGTTTTTCCTTATTCGTGGTTCCTTTTCTTTTTAGCCTCCACTCTGATTTTATTAACAGTTTTGGGTTTACAACACTTGGTAGGGTAAGCATTCCCCAAGCAGACAGACTATCTTTTCCCATCAAACATTCAGGTAAAGGAGACAAGTTATTTGCATAAGCCTGTTTAAGCATTCCAGCTTTCATAATCCCATCAGCCCTTCCATTCGGAGAAAAACCTTTATGTTCTCTCAGTCTAATTGTAGCTCACACCAGGGCTTCACCAATGGATTTTGGTACCCCCGTTTGTGGGGCTCCATGTCAAGGAGTCCAGAAACTTCTCTATTCTTGACCCTTTTACCCATTCTGATGTAAAGGCTTTGGGTTCCCAGTGAGGGGTTGAGTCAAGGGACCCAGGTTTTTTTTGTCAGTCTTTATCTTGTTTCATCTCCCTAACTATTGCTTGAAGGAATTACAGGTCATATTTCTCATTATAATCTTTGAATCTTGGCTTTCAAAATGTCTCCAAACAGGATAAATAAAGTAGACTTGCTTGGGGCCCTTTAATTCTGGGAGTTCAGTGGGGGTCCTTTTGGCCTGCTTCACCTTGGGTAGTTCTGTATTAAAACCTTCGCTTGAACCCCATCAGTGTCTGTTTTTTTCATACCTAACCACTCAGCATAATATAGAGAAAATGATATGCCCAGTAGTTCTAAAAAGTTTAGTAATTTCTTTTCAATCTGTGTGAATAAAACACTTAAAATTAATGAAATGTGGGATTTTTTTTTGTAGAGGCTTAACTTTCTTATTAAGTATAAGGTGTTTTTATATTCAGGAGGTTATGAAAATAATTTTCTTCTGTATTTTCCTTTCTTTTATGAAATCTTTATGTTCTCTAGGCAATATTTTGTTTTCTAAAATACTTATAAAAATAGAAATAATACGTAAGCATTTTATTTACTTACTAGAGCCCGGTGCACGAAATTTGTGCATGGGGTGGGGGGGTCCCCTCAGCCTGGCCTGCACCCTCTCCAATCCAGGACCCCTTGGGGGATGTCCGACAGCCTCTCACAATCCGGGACCACTGGCTCCTAACCACTCGCCTGCCTGCCTGATCGCCCCTAACTGCCTCTGCCTGCCTGCCTTTTTGCCCCTAACTGCTCCCCTGCTGGCCTGATCGCCCCTAATCGCCTCTGCCTCACCCCGCACCCAGGACCCAGGATTCCCTCCTCCGGCCGGTCGCAGGCACCCGGGACCTGGGCTTCCCTCCCTCTGGCTGGCCACCCTGGGCTGGCTTCACCCGGGTCGGCCATAGCCGCAGGGGACCATGGGCAGGCGGCTTCATCCTGGCTGCCACAGCCGCAGGCGCTGGCACCTGGGACTGCGGGGTGGGTGGCTTGTCCCTCTCCCAGGCTGCAGGTGCAGGTGCAGCCATTGGCGCCCAGGATCGTGGGGCGGGTGTTTTGTCCCTCTCCCGGGCCATAGCCCCAGCCGCTGGTGCCCAGGACCGCAGGGCAGACGGCTTGCCCCTCTACCGAGGTGCAGGGGCAGCTGCTGGCGCCTGGGACCGTGGGGCGGGTGGCTTGTCCCTCTCCTGGGCCGCAGCCTGGCTCCCCATTCCTCTCTCCCCAGTGCTGAGTGTCTGAGCAGTGATGGTGTGACCCATTTGCATATTAGCTCTTTATTATATAGGATAGGCCAGTGGTTGGTAAACTGTGGCTCGCGAGCCACATGCGGCTCTTTGGCCCCTTGAGAGTGGCTCTTCCACAAAATACCAACTTCTGCGCATGGGCCACGAAGTTTCAATCACACTGTACATGTGCGCCCGCACGTGGTATTTTGTGGAAGAGCCACACTGAAGGCGCCAAAGAGCCACATGTGGCTCGCGAGCTACAGTTTGCTGACCACTGGGATAGGCTAATAGAAAAGATGAGTGAAGATTTTATTTGAACTAATTTATGAGAAAAATTTTAGTTATTAGAATTTATTCAATTTGTGAGAAACCACATTGCCTTTGCAAGAAAATTCAAATTTGAGAAATTTGAGTGTTTAATATATGCGAATATTTACATAATCAAAAATTAAAATGTTCGACAATAAGTAACCATATAACTCTCATGAAGCAATATAAACATTTGTCAAGCTAAAACTCTTAAAGTCAAATTTTCTTTCTAACCTTTCAGTACATGGAAGAATTTAAAAATGATATGCTAACTGAGAAAGATGCCCAGTACCTGAACATTAAAGAAGTGTTTTATCATTTAATTGAATGCAATAAAGATATCCCAGGGATCTCCGAGATCAAGTGGATCATTCATGTGGTTGATTCCCCAGATATAAATGCCTTTGTGCTTCCGGTAAGTAAATGTTCTCGAGCCTAATTTTTTTTTTTTTTAAATATATTTTATTGATTTTTTACAGAGAGGAAGGGAGAGAGATAGAGAGTTAGAAACATCCATGAGAGAGAAACATCGATCAGCTGCCTCCTGCACATCTCCCACTGGGGATGTGCCCGCAACCCAGGTACATGCCCTTGACCGGAATCGAAGCTGGGACCTTTCAGTCCGCAGGCCGACGCTCTATCCACTGAGCCAAACCGGTTTCGGCTCTCGAGCCTAATTTTTAATTGTTAAATTTAACTTTCTTGTTTTTTTTAAGGTGTTCTAATTGCTTATATTATTTTCTTTATGGTGCAGAATGGACATGTGTTTGTCTTCACTGGGCTTTTCAATGCTGTGGCTAGTGTGCACCAACTTGCCTTCATTCTGGGCCATGAAATAGCACATGCAGTACTTGAGCATGCTGTAAGTACCTAAAGTGAGTGCTCCGTTGTTGAAATACTGTAGTTAGCAAGTGAAATCTTTTAAAGAGCTGAATCTTTTCAGTTTTCTTTATTTTTCTTTCTCTTTCTTTTGGATGGAATTTTAGTTTTCAGTTATTGTCTTATTCTGTTACCTGAAAAAATATGATTGTCTAATTTGGGGAGTTTTTATGGTCTTTAGTATTTGATATTGAATAATTAGTGTTTCTCTTAAGTACTATTTTTATCACCTGTCTCTTTTACTAAGAAGTAATTATTCTCAACCTCTAATTATTTCAAATTAGGTTTAAAATTTTTTATAATTATTAACATACTGGTAATCTAGTCAGAAAATTAATTGTAGGAAAGTGATATTACTATTTAAGTGGGTAAATTGGTTTTCTTGCTTTTTTATTCATTCTCTGAGGATAGCTTGGAGCATCTTTGAAAATGTCTAGAAAGATATGCCATATATAATTAATGTAGAGAAATAATAATGATACCTTGCCATTTTACAGTTTATTGAGCTTTTTAACACGTACCTTCTCATTCATAATTTTAATGCCATCCTCATGAGGTATGTATTTAATATCCCATATTGTCTATGAGGAAACCAATGTTTAAAAAGGCTCTAAGTAACATCACTGATGTGACAAAGTGGAAGAATTGGGACTTTAACCCAGGTCTTCTGTTTGCAAGTCCATTGTTGCTCCCTTTTACCACCGTTACCTAGTTGTTGGCAGCACTTTCTTATAGGTCACAGAATTCAAATTGGTTCATGTTCCTGTGAAGGCGCATCTGTTTGTTTGACTTGAGCCCATAGAAGTTCATATTTATTTACTCATATTTTATTTTTATTCATTAAAAGTTATGCATGGCTCTTTTTTTTTATCCATTTATTTATTGATATACAGCACAGGGAATATAGTCAAAATATTGTAATAGCTTATGGTGAATAATGTATAAGGTATATAAGCGTTGAATCACTCTTTGAAACTAATATAATATTGTATGCCAATTATACTTTAATAAAAGTTTTTAAAAATATGCATGGCTCTTTTGTCCACATAATCAGAGAGAGGTATATTCTCTTTAATTGAAAATGTGAAGGTAAATAGTGAAAGGATTGTGAAATGCTATATAGGAAATGCAAGTAATATTAACTTTAAATGGAAATGATAATATTACTAATTTCTTTAAAATTCATCTCAAATTCTACCTATTCCTTAGAGTATTAATTAGATGAGGTGGGCTAAAGTTGTGCTTTACTGAAGCACAAATAGCAAAAATCTTTATTTCTTCTGAGTTGTAGGAAAAATTTAAAAATATGTCCTTTAAACAAACATATACAAGAATAAATCTGAGCAGTTAAAATAGATTTTATCTTTCAAGAAATGGCTTCAGAACTATAAAATCAATTAATTTTGGCCATTTTTAGCATTTAAAAGCTGTTAATATTTAGTGCATTGTTTTCCTGGCATCTCATTCAATGCTGCATTCAGCATATTGTTACCATCTCTGTCAGTGCAAGAACAATAATTAGATGAGACATAAAAAGTAAATAGCAGCCTTAGAAATAGAAAATAGTTACCAATATTACTTTGGCACAGGTCTTAGACATGATCAACACTGTGTTTTCTCTTTTAGGAGTCTCCATTTTGATTTGATGGAGCCTTTTATGTTGTATTCTTTAGTCCACAAATAACAGATTTTTCTATATAATAGCAATTATATTCTTCAGTAATTAATAACAGAGATTGTTTTCTTCCCTAACAACTTCATCATTTGGAATTTTACTCTTTCATGCTAAAATAATTCCATGTTTCTTATGACCCATACTGCTTTTCTTTTTTTAATCTTCACCCGAAGATATTTTTTCCATTATTTTTTAGTGAGAGTGGAAGGGAGGGATAGAGGGCAAAGGAGACCGAGAGGGAGAGAGGAAGAAACATCGATGTGACAGAGACACATCAATTAGTTGCCTCCCATGCGTGCCTCGACCGGGGCTGGGGATCAACACTGCAACTGCAGTACATGCCCTTTACTGGGAATGGAACCCATGATCTTTGGGTGTGGGGGCTGGTGCTCTAACCATTTAGCAACACTGGCCATTGCTGACCCACAGTTCTTATCATGAAATAAAGAATGCTTCATGAGGGTAGATTATATTGTAAAGAGAAATATTCTAGAGGTTACTTTTAGTTGTTAGCCATGTTTCATACATTGAAGTAATGATTTCTATATTGTCAGTATTAGCAACATTGTCACATACCTTCACATGAGGAATAGTATATTTTGGATTGTAGTCAAACTTTATTGTGCTCAGACTGGTGAAAATAGCGGTTAAGGCTTTTGTATTTTAAAGAAGATACAGTTTTCAGCCTAACAATGAACAATACGGTGCACTAGACTTATGAATATTATTACTAAAAACAACTATTTTAAGTAAAACCTTTTGTGATTATTGCTATAAGTAAATACAAAAATTCAAAGAATCCAGTTTCCTGGTGAGAAATACCAAACTTACAAAATTGCAAACCCATATAAAGTGAATCATACTTCATATATAAGGTCATGATGGCCAAAAGATTTTTATTTAAAGTAAACTTCTAATTTTTTTCTGAATTGTTCCTTGTTTTAACTGCTTCATGTGTTAGGTAGTGTGTAGTCTCTGTCCAAAAAGTATAATAAACACATTTATGTGATTTTAAAAAAGAATTAGCAACTATATTAGAAACTAAAATTTCTTGGGTTTGATTCCTAGTCCTTTTTCTAATAGCTGTGTAAATTGGGGGCAGCTTTTAACCTGGCTCCATCTTAGTTTCTTTAACTATAAAATAGGGATAATAGTATATATTTCACAAGATTGCTATGCTTGTTAATATAAGAAACCAGAAATTAATGAACCTGTCATTGTATCTGAGTGATGGTAAGTGCTCAGTATATGTGAGTGAATGAATCTCTCTCTCTCAAAGCTGGTTGATCAGTTGCTATGACATGCACTGACCACCAGGGGGGCAGACGCTCAACACAGGAGCTGCCCCCTGGTGGTCAGTGTGCTCCCACAGCGGGAGTGCTGCTCAGGCAACTTACAGAGCAGCGGTGGCAGGTGCAGTGGGCCGGGAATGAGTGGGAGCAGTGCTGCACAGCACCCGGCCCAGGCTTGGGCTCCTCCTCAGCTGCCTGCCACTTCATGCACTACTACACCCCTCGGGGGATGTTGGACTGCCGGGGATTGGGCTGAAACTGGCAGCCCGACATCCCCCGAGGGCTCCCGGATTGTGAGAGGGCGCAGGCCAGGCTGAGGGACCCCACTGGTCCATGAATGCGTGCACCGGGCCTCTAGTGAATATATAAGTATGTAAGCAAGGGATGGAACAAGCACACTGGGAAAGGATAAAGCACGCAGAAGAAAAAAAAGCCTTACAATCTTAGTTTTTGAAGGTCATTTAAACGTAAGTAGTTATTTAATGTGATTACACATGATGAACTAGAAAATGTAAGCATGTGCTGTCTCAATTTATTAAGTGTAATTTTCATTATTGTGATTATTCGCAGGCAGAAAAGGCCAGCGTGGTTCATTTATTGGATTTCCTAGGTCTAATTTTCCTCACAATGATTTGGGCCGTTTGTCCTCGAGACAGCTTGGCAATTGTGGGCCAGTGGTTGCAGTCTACATTGAAAGAGGTAAGTCTGAGACAATAACTTGAATTTCTAATGGCCTGTGGTGAGGATATTTTAATGTTACTGTAAAGCAACAAATGTCAGAGATGTTTTAACATATTGTCATGAAATCTGGGGACTAATTTGGTGTTTTATTGTTTTCTCATTTTGGGGGGATATTCTCTCAAATGATGGAAATAGATGGATTGGAAGAGCTTAGCCACTTTTGGCTTTACCTTCAAACTTTCCACTTTTGTTTCTCATATTGACTGTGGTGTACCCACTGGATGATTCTCTGCACCCCTCCCCACCTCCCCCAATATTTGGATTTTCATGGAGAACTCTTAAAAGCTGTAAACTTCTATGGGCACAGGGTTGGCTGAGCTACTTTATCACCCTTACCTCCTCACTCCTAGTTAAACTAACATTGCCTAGAAAATACTGAAAGGACAGTCCTGTTAGGTGTTTGTTAACTTTAGTTTTAGTACTTATGTATAGTGATAATCATCTCATAAGATGTGTTGTCTCTCATTTTGCTCAAAGCATAGCAATATTGAAAGTAGGTTTCGCAATCTTGATAATTGCTTTGTTAACTATGATTAATTATTTTATTTTACATCTTTTTTTTTTTCAAATTTTTCTTCTTGTCCTGGGAGGTTTGGTTATTTAGGAACAATCTGTTATTTGTCTATTTAATGATTTTTGGAGCACCCATCAGAGTGCCATCTGGGTGCTGTTTAAATCTAATGTGTAAAATTCTTTGAGACAAATTGCTTTAGAAATTGGATAACTAAGTCTTTTATTCAGTGTTACCATATCATTTGGCTTCATTTATATTGAAATAAATGTTCTTAAAAAGAAAAAGAAGGAATGGTTATTGCTTAGGTTATAGGATCTCATCTTTTGAATTTTATTTCTGTTATGATGTGCTGGGAAGTCAAAGGAGTTAATTTAGTTTTTTCGCTATCTATCAATAGATAGCCTTTTCCGTAATGGAATCAGAAGATTTGGTCATAAAGATAACTTGTAGCTATTTCTTTTTTGAAATACTTGATGAATTCTGCTACTTCAGTATTATTCTTTAATTTAAGAATTAAACAAAATAAAGTAGGAATTACTTCTCTTGGAACCCTTGTCCCCCTAAATCAAGTGTTCCCCAAACTTCAGTGACAAGGAAATATTTCTAGAAAGCTTGCCTGTTGTAATTAGAGAGTGAGAAGAATGAGTATAGTGAAGTTACTACGGAAGAGGAATTGCTGACATTTATCTGCAGGAGAAAGGAAGAGAAGAAGGAAGAAGGAAGGGCCCTCACTTAACCACTGGGGAGCTCTATGTTTGTGATCTTAAAGATTTGGGTATAGTGTAGCAGCCCTCAATGAGTGCAACGAGGCAGGGTTTTGAGAGTTATTAATAATAATTATAGTAGCTAACTTCTGAAATGCTTACCATATGTTAGGCACTAGGATAAACAATACAGATGAATTATGTACAGGGGTTAAGAATACAGGCTCTGATCAGATGAATTTAGACTCTTTAGATCTAAACTCTATAGAACCTGGGCAGGTTACTTTACTTATATAGGTCTCAATTTCTTCATTTGTGAATTGAAGTAATAATATTGGCTAATTCAAAACATTGTTGTGAAATGAATGATACATTTTAAGCAGGATTTCTCAATGTAACCCCAGCCCTATTGATATTTTTGGACTGGATAATGCTTTTTTTTTTTTTTTTTTTAAATATTTTTATTGATTTCAGGGAGGAAGGGAGAGGGAGAGAGAGAGAAACATCAATGATGAGAGAGAATCATTGATTGGCTGCCTCCTGCATATCCCCTACTGGGGATCGAGCCCGCAACCTGGGCATGTGTTCTTGACCAAATTGAACCTGGGATGCTTCAGTCTGAAGGCTGACACTCTATCTACTGAGCCAAACCAGCTAGGGTTAGACTGGAAAATTTTTTTTGGAGAGTTGTTCTGTGCACTGCAGGGTGTTTAGGAGCCTTTAAGCATCTAGCTGCCTCTAAACATCTGGCCTCTACCCACTAGATGCCAGTAACATTCTTCCTTCCCACCCTCCCCATCCTACTCCCCCAGACAATCAAAACTGACTCCAGATACTTGCAAATGTCCCCAGGGGACACAGTTACATCCCTTAGGAACCACTGATTTAAAGCATTTAGCACAGTGCCCGGCACAGAGTAAGGACCCAGTAAATAGGAGCTGTTATCATTGTTTGCTCATTTTATCCTCTCTGCAACATGTGATGCTACTGGGCTTAGATGTGCTAAATAATTAGCCCAGGGTGAACAGTTAAAAGTGTCAGCATGTGGACTTGAACCTGATTTTGTCTCCTTTGAAAGCCAGTGTTTTTAATTAGTTATACTATCAGTGGACTTGATGGGACACCTGGAGATGAATTGTGGAGAGTGAAGACACTGTATGACACAGTTTAGCAACCTAAAACAGACATTACCGAGGAGGAAGGAAGTAATATACAATGGTCACATACTGTGAGTCAGATTGATTATATTATTTCTAGCTCTCACTGGCATGTACTTCTGAAAAATTGCTTTCCCAATTAATAGCTTTTTTCTCAAAAGTTCTGCCTATTGATCCATCTCCTGCAAAGTTTTAGTGCTTACTGAAAATGAGAATTTAACTGGAAAGCATTCACATAAATACAAGTAATTAGGAAAATTAAAGTTACAATATCTATTTGCATTTTTTAATTGAGGTTGGAAGAAAATTTCATTTTCCTAACTAATCAATACCTAGAAAAAAAGGAAATTAAGATAGTTCGTCAAAAAAAGAACATTCTGCTATATGGTTAATTTTCCAACTGAAATAAATCCTCTGGTAGTGTCACTGGCTATTATATGGCTATACTTTTTCAATTTTCTTTTAAAACTCCAAGATCAAACTATTCCTTGGCCATAATAAAAGGCTGCATCAATAAGCTTTCTTAGGGAATCTTCCACATAGTAGGTGGAGATTATAAATGGGTAAAAAGTACTCTATGTGATACAATAGACTCTCCAGAAGTTTGTAGCCATGGTTTTGTTTTTATTTTTTCTATGTTTTAAAAATATTAATCTCTGGTGGAGGAAATAAAGGCTGCACTGTATGTTTTATGCCAAGGTGTTCTTTAAATGTTAATAAGTGGAGAGTATAAAAACAATCTTGATTCTAGGTACTCCATGATTAACTTTAAAAGTTTCTTTTTGCTGTGAAATAACCTGAGTGGAGCTTTTCTTTTCTATTTCTTCTTAGTATTTGTTCAGTAGACCATACAGTAGAACACTGGAGGCTGAAGCTGACAAAATTGGACTACAGCTTGCTGCAAAGGTAAAATGTTCAGCAGTTGAGAATACACAGTGTCCTTCACACAGTAAAAGATAAATGTGTATTGTCCTAATGAAGTTTGGCATGGACAGTGAATGAGAGATTGTATTCAGTTTTTCATTAACACCATTTTAAATCTGCACCGTCTGGAAGCTAACGTTCTCTTTATTGTACTCTTTTCCCTTATTTTGTGGATCTAAGGTGGCTTTTTGAATAAATAAGATGATGTGTAGCTGTTTTTCCAGACTGGGAGAAAGGTTTCTCATATTGTAGCTATGATCCCGGCTGAGCAAACTGAATTTTCACCATTAAAATAAACGATAGAAGAGCAGACTTATTACTCTGTATCTTTCAGATTACTTTTGTTATAGCAGATGGCTTATTTTTACTCTCCATAGACTGCAGCTCTGGGTGTTTACCCTGATTTAAGTTAGCTTTGTTCATGTCTACTTAACAGGGCACTTGACGCTGGGTTGCTGTTTTTAAGCACCTGTGATAACTGAGTATTAGCAGTAGTAGGATTTAATTAGGAGTAAACCTGAACTTTTTAAAATGAGTGAAAACAGTGCTACTTCATATATTAAATTCAAAATGTATTTGATTCTTTGTTGAGTTTTCGATAGTTATTAAAAGTCCTAACTATTAAAAATCATTATTATTTGAACTTCTCATTTTGAGTTTTATGGATTTAATTTCATAAATCAAGATATTACTCATTCACAAAAGCAAAAGCAGTTTTTTAGATGTTACATAAGTAGAATTAAGTAAATTATCAGATGGGTAGATGAAGAGGTTCCCAAATCATTGTCCACAGATTGGCTATCTCATGATTTTCCTAAAACTAATGTACGACAGTTTATGAAATTTTCCTTTTAGGTAAGTGTGTTCTAGTTGAGAAATCTTTTCCCATCTCAATGAATTGTTCCTGTTGTATTTCAAGAAGTTCTATTGTTTTGTTATTTTTTAGTATATAATATATAGAAAGAAGTTAAGATATTTTCCCTCATATGGCTAGCACTGTTTATCTAAGAGTCATTTTTCTTCACTGTACTTCAGTGTCTCTGTCATAAATTTGGGAGACTATGTGGAGGTTTGTTTCTGGACGCCCTATTCTATTCCATTGGCCTTTTATTTATTTTTGAGCCAAATGACATCATCTCTGTAGCTTTGTAATAAGTCTTAAGATCTGAGAGCTGTCCTCCAGTGTTGTTCTACAAGATTGACTTGTTATTTTTACTATACTTGATCTTAGCCAAAAGGCTGAGAAGCGATGACTTGTTATTTTTAGTCTTTTGTTTTTCCATATCCATTTCATATATGGAATATATGAAATTACATTATCAAATTACACCCCTTTACAAAAACAAAAAACATGCCTGGGATTTTGTTTGGAGTTGTGTACATTAAATATAGGTCCGTTTGGGGAAAGTTGACTAGTGTCATCAGTATTGAGTCTTCCAATCCATGAATGATATATTTATCCATTTATTTAAATATTCTATAATTTCTCTCAGTGATGTTTTGAGATTTTTTTTTGTGTGTGTGTATAGGACTTACATTTTTTAATGTTATAAACAGTGTCATTTAAAAAAATAAGCTTGCTTATATTGAGAAATACAGTTTGTTTTCATAATTAACCTTCTATCCAGAAACCTTGCTAACTTCACTTAATTCTAAAATAGATTCTTTTAGATTTTACATATACACATTTTACATATACAAGTTATCTTGTCTGTAAATAATGACTCCTTTATTTTTCACTTCTAGTCCATACACACACACATATATATTTTAAAAATATATTTTTATTGATTTTCAGAGAGGAAGAGATAGGGAGAGAAAGTTCCTTTATAATAAAAGGATAATATGCAAATTGACCCTATCGGTGGAATGACTGGGAACAACCTGTTGCTATCATGTGCACAGACACTCAACACAGGAGCTGCCCCCTGGTGGTCAGTGTGCTTCCACAGTGGGAGCACAGCTCAGCTAGAAGCCAGCTCATGGCTGGGCAGCACAGCGGCAGTGGCAGGAGTCTCTCCCGCCTCTGCTGCAGTGCTAAGGGTATTCGACTACTGGCTTAGGCCCACTCCCCAGGGGCTCCTGGGCTGCCAGAGGGATATCTGACTGCCAGCTTAGGCCTGATCCCCCAGGGAGCAGGCCTAAGCCAGCAGGTGGACATCCCCTGAGGGCTCCCAGGCTGCCAGGTAGCGGGCCTAAGCTGTCAGTCAGATATCCCCCAAGGGGTCCCAGACTGCAAAAGGGCACGGGCTGGGCTGAGGGACCCACCTCCCGAGTGCATGAATTTTTGTGCACCAGGCCTCTAGTCAGTGATAAGACAGAAACATTGATCGGCTTCTTCCTGCATGCCCTCTACTGGGGATCAGTTCCACAACCCCATCATGTGCCCTGATTGTGAATTAAACCATGACTTTCTGGTTCATGGGTCGATGTCAGTCACTGAGCCACATTGGCCAGGCTGGATTGATCCTTTTATCAAGATGAAATCTTTCTGGTCTCTACTAATGCTTCTTATCTAATGTCCACTTTTTCCTTTATTACTATTGTTATGACAGCTTTCTTTTGATTAGTGCTTACATGGTATTATCTTTTCCATTCTTTCATTTTCAAGCTTTCTGTTTTCTTTTAAATATTTTTTCTTTTTAAAATATATTTTTATTGATTTCAAAGAGGAAGGGAGAGGGAGAGATTGAAACATCAATGATGAGAATCATTGATTGACTGTCTCCTGCACACCCCCTACTGGGAACTGAGCCCGCAACCTGGGCATGTGCCCTTGACCGGAATTGAACCCAGGACCCTTTAGTCCATAGACTGATGCTCTGTCCACTGAGCCAAACCGGCTAGGGTTGTTTTCTTTTTTTTTTTTTTTTAAATTTTATTGATTTTTTACAGAGAGGAAGGGAGAGAGATAGGGAGTTAGAAACATTGATCAGCTGCCTCCTGCACATCCCCCACTGGGGATGTGCCCGCAACCCAGGCACATGCCCTTGACCGGAATCGAACCTGGGACCCTTCAGTCCGCAGGTTGACGCTCTATCCACTGAGCCAAACCGGTCTCGGCTAGGGTTGTTTTCTTATATGTGTGTCTCTTATAAGTAGTATGTAGCTGTTTGTTTGTTTTTTTTAATCTTTGCTCTTTTTTTGATCTATTTAGTTCATTTATATTTTCAATTTGTATTTCTTGATAAATAAAGACGTGGAACATATTTTCATGTGTGTGCTGGCCATTAATGTATTTTTTATTATCTTTTTAGATATTTTGCCCATTTTTATTGTTTTTCTTTTCTTTTCTTAAAAAAATATATTTTATTGATTTTTTACAGAGAGAAGGGAGAGGGAGAGGGATAGAGAGTTAGAAACATTGATGAGAGAAGAAACATCGATCAGTTGCCTCCTGCACACTCCCTACTGGGGATGTGCCCGCAACCAAGGTACATGCCCTTGACCAGAATTGAAGCCGGGATCCTTCAATCCGCAGGCCGATGCTCTATCCACTGAGCCAAACTGGTTAGGGCTTGTGTGAGTTTTTTAATACATTTGCTGGATACAAGTCCTTTGTCAAATATGTGTATTGCAAATATTTTCTCCCAATCTGTGGCTTGCTTTATTATTTTATTAGTTGTGTGTTTTGGAGAATGAAAGTTAAAAATTTTTATGAAATCTAATTTTCTACTTTTGGGTTTACTCTTTTTTTCTAGGTTTCTAAGATGGGATATATATCATTGGCTATAAATTTTCCACTCTGCATTACTTTAGCTGTTATAGATTTCAATATGTTATATTTTCATTATCAGTTATCAGAATATGTTCTAATTTTCTTTGTGATTTCTAATTTTATCCATGTGTTATTCAAAAGGGAGTCATTTAGTATACAGATTTTGAGATTTGCCTAATGTTTTATTGCTTGTTTCTAATTCCCTTGTGGTTTAGAGAATAGCCTCTGTAAGATTTTAATCTTTTCAGATCTATTGGGACTTGTTTTATGGCACATCATCTAGTCTACCTTGCTGAATTTTCATCACTTGAAAAAAATGTGTATTCTGTATTTGTTGAGTGTATGTTTTATAAATATCAATTAGGTTAAGGTGGTTTATAGCATCACTGAGATTTTCTATATCCTCCTGATTTTTTGTCTACTGGTTCTTGAAATTTTTTTTTTTTTAAATATATTTTTTATTGATTAAGATATTACACATGTGTCCTTGTCCCCACGTTACCCTCTACCCCCCACCCCCCCACCCCCGCTCATGCCCTCACCCCCCCGTTGTCCATGTCCATTGGTTAGGCCTATATGCTTGCATATAAGTCCTTTGGTTGATCTTTCCCCCTTACCCCCACCCTCCCCTACCTTCCCTCCAAGTCCCGACAGTCCAATCAATGCCTCTCCGTCTCTGGATCAGTCCTTGTTCATCAGCTTATGTTGTTCATTATATTCCACAAATGAGTGAGATCCTGTGGTATTTATCCGCTCTCAAGTTCCATCCATGCTGTGGCAAATGGTAAGAGTTCCTTTTTCTTCTTCCTCTTCTTAAAGAATACCTTTCAGCATTTCATATAATGCTGGTTTGGTGGTGATGAACTCCTTTAGCTTTTTCTTATCCGTGAAGCTCTTTATCTGACCTTCTATTCTGAATGATAGCTTTGCTGGATAAAGTAATCTTGGTTGCAGGTTCTTGCTATTCATCACTTTGAATATTTCTTGCCAGTCTCTTCTGGCCTGCATGGTTTCTGTTGAGAAATCAGCTGACAGTCGTATGGGTACTCCCTTGTAGGTAACTGACTGTCTTTCTCTTGCTGCTTTTAAGATTCTCTCTTTATCTTTTGCTCTTGGCATTTTAATTATGATGTGTCTTGGTGTGGTCCTCCTTGGATTCCTTTTGTTTGGGGTTCTCTGCGCTTCCTGGACTTGTAAGTCCATTTCTTTCACCAGGTAGGGGAAGTTTTCTGTCATTATTTCTTCAAAAAGGTTTTCAATATCT